TGTGTTAAATTCTCCCGCGGCGTGTTCTTTACAATCCGTTTCTTGTCTTTTTCTTCTCCCCTGCCGTTTTACGACGTCAGGTGTATTTTACCGGTCACCAGCTGAATTTGCGCCGTCTCGTGGCTGTTTCGCGAGAGATTGCGAACGTACGTACGTGAGCGCCCGGTGCGAGAATTGATTTCGATTGTTTCGCGAAGGCTCCCACGCATGCGGAACATGCAACTCTTACAGGAAGAAAAAAGATCCTGTTGGTGCAGCTAATCGTCGTTCAGTTAGAAATGTTCCGCTGCTGTTAGATGTATAGGTACTATATCTAATACATATCTACTGCAGCTGAACTTGCAAGCGTCTGTTTGATAATTTATGTGCAGCCCCGGGAAGTGCACGATTGACGTAAACGACGGTAGAACGGTAGAACGAAGGTAGAACTCTCCAAAGTGCAATCAGTGTATTATCGCTGAGAAGCAGTCCATTGGTGATCATAGCTGTAAGTATAGCGCTGCAAGTCGGTAAAATTTCGCTGCGAAAATCTGTTAATAGCGGCAACCGTTCCCATCGAAGAGAGATTTAATCACGGAAACGATATTACTTGTTACTTTTAATAAGATGCTCGTTTTTATCCGTATTCGTTTAGGAGTAATTAAAAGTGAAATACCCGGCAATTTATTGTTGACAGAATAGCTACGTGGTTTTCAAGCGTGAAGGAAGTTCCGATAATTTGTGAAAGATTTTATTTAATATCGTGAAATTAAGTTTTCATCAGTCTACAGGCCGTCTGTAAGTAGACGCAAATTATCCTTGAGAGCGCGTCAGAGTAGCGTCGGAATTACCACGTGAAATTAGCCCGGCGCACACGTTGAAAGGAAGTGAAATCGTCTCGAGTGCAAGACGACGCGGCATTAAAGGTGACAGATGTCTCGAGAGAGGAGGAGGAAAATCAATTTAGAGATCGACGTTGCGCGCAGAGAAGAGTTGCGTCCTTCACGAAGCGGCGATGACAAAATTACCGCTCTCGCGGTGGCGGCGCGTTCGACACCGCGAGCACAAATCGTGTGTCGCACACACACCTCGCTTACCGTACACCACCTTTTGTTAACACGTCCGTTTGCGAGCAACGTCGTTTCCCCCGCGCACACAATCTCGCGCTCGTCGTCCCCTGAAAGCAGCGTTGCTCGCGAGTCAAACTCGTTTTGCCGCCAGTTTCACGCGCGAGAGAAACGGGGGAGAAAATAGGGCAAGAGAGGGAAGGGAAGTGTGTCAGCTACGGCAGATCGACCCGAAAATTCGCACGACGCATCTTTCGGTACGCGCGCACATACACGTGCATTGTACATACGCCGGCCATCGTATTTCCAAGCGGGGGTTAGAAATGCCCGAGAAGAACACGCGTATGGCTAAAATTCTGCCTTTCATGTTTCTTTTTTTGGTTTCGGAACGCGCCCGTGGTGGAACCTGGAGAACACGTACTGTGGAGACAATTTCGGAAACAACGAGAGGAGTATATGGAGTATCTTCGACGAGGGTAGAGGCGGCGAGAGCTCATCGGAGCTCACCCCGATGACTCCTCCCGAATGAAAATTCATTTCTCGGCCCGATAGAAGTTGTGAGAGAAACGGCGACGAGCGGAAACATCATTGTCACGACGTTATCGCCCTCCGCTGCTTGATATTATCTTCCGTACAGGAGCGTAAATCAAGTTAATTATTCAACGGAGGAAGCGTGCGCGCGCGAAAGAGAGAGAGGGAAAGGGGAGCAGAGAAAGAGATCACCGTCGCCGACGGGAAAAAATTACGCAAAGGTAAAGTCGCTTCAAAAGTGAGTTAATACTTTAACAATCACGAAAAGTTCGGCACAAGGTTGAAGGAGAAAGAAAGAAGGGAAGAGGGGGAAGATTCCAAAGAAAGGATATCGCGCGCGCGGCCGTAGTAGCGCTTTAATCCATTCAGCTACCGGCTCAACTTCTCCCGGCCATTTTGCAACTTGCTCGTTTAATATTGTCCCACGAAAATCTACTCCCCGCGAGGATGACTCGCAGACAGGATGCATAATGAAACTATAACGCGTTCGCTCACTTAGCTCGTTGCGAGCGTGATTAATTAATCGGAGTATCGTTAAACGGGCGAGCTTAAGCGCTCGAGAGTTAAAAGCTAAAAGCAGTGGTCGCCGTCGCACGCGCCGTTCGCGTGTGTGCGCTTTTTTCTCTCTCCTTCTCTATTAATCTTTGTTTTTCTTTTTCCGCTCCTTTTATTACTCGCCATCCTGCGCGCGCGCACCTTCGTTTTCATTATCGAGCGCGATATCGATGTGGCGTTTCGTAGTTTCGATTTCGAGGGTTGCGAAGGAACGAAAAAGAGCGCGCGGATTCGACGAAGGAAACAAGATACGTCCAGCCGGGAAATCACGTGGGCGGTCGAGCGGACGAAAAAAAGAGGAAAAGAAAGGAGCGAAAAAATATAACGGAGAGAGCGACATCGAGTTGGTGCAGGGTCAAGCCAATAGGTCAATGTACCCCACGGAAACCCACCTACAAATGACGCCCACACGAACGGCCGCAACGGAGCGATCGACTTTATCGGAGCGATGAGTTGCGCCGCGGAAGAACGCCGCAGAGAAGCCGTGATATTTCCGATACGCGTCCGCTCTCTCCCTCTCTCTCTCGAGTCTCTTCCATTGCGACGAAACGTACTTCCCACACCCACGCGTTTAATTTTACACATCGACGAGTCTCTCTCTTTTTTACTCTTACATACACACATGTTACTAATGTTCGGTCTCAACGAACGCGTTACATATTACGACAATTGGCCCGTAAATATATTTTCTTAAAAACCTCTTTAAATTTTAACAACATATTAATCGGAACACGACCTACATATGTGTGAAATTAGAAAAAGACTGACTGTACCGAAGCGGAGAATAATTAATTGAAGTCAAGATTGGCACTATTTACGTATATCACAGATATAAGAAACGGCTTTTGATGTTACATTCCAATTCTAGCAACCGAGTTACATCGAGAAAAAAGCGTCACCGTTCGAGTAATATTCACTTGATCCAAGTAAAATGATTACTCCGATACTCTTTGATGAAACAGCGTCTTGAGATTTTCTTGTAATATTCCCCATCGCGAATCGGATAAATCTAAATGACGTGTAATTAGTTTTAAATTAAATTTTCTGCTGCCGTGTGATATACTATTTTGTGTGATACATTTCGTATTTGGTACATTCCGCGTGTGTGCGCTTGGTAGGAAAGAAAAAAAGAGGGAGAAGAATATACGTATAGCAGAGCTGTAAGAAACCGTACCGACCGCGAGCGAGTTCCGCGTGCGCGTGGCGGCGGAGTGGCGTTTTCTTTGAGAATCTTTCGTCGTAGATGATGCACCGTGGAAGAGAAACGCGTGCTTCCGCACGTACCATTTGTTTCGTGGAAAAAAGAGAAGCGCATTTAATTCTCCTTTTATTGCAGAAATGCGCGCTTCTCGTTGTCTCTCTCTCTCCCGGTCCTCTTATTTCCGCGTTCAGAGACTCCGGTCGGCGCTACTGAAATATTCATGAGCCACTCTCTCTCTCTCTCTCTCTCTGGTAAACAGCTGAGAAAAAAGCAGCAACGTTGTCTCATATTTAGCAATTATTCAATTAGCCGGTGTGCCGCCGCTGTGACGAGAGAGAGAGAGAGAGAGAGAGCGGGAGCGAACACGCGAGCTTCCGTCGTTGATGAACGGCGCGCGAGCCCGGCGGCGGCTTCGCATTTTTGGACGACGTTCGGTCTCGTTAAGGGGATCTTGGACACGATCGGTCTCGTCCTGTGCTATTTCACGTTTTATCTAACGGTCGAATTAAAGGGGGCGCGCTCCCTTACTCCCGGATAACGATCAGGCGAGGGTACAATAATCTGAAATTAGATCAACGATACATAGCCTCTCCCGCCTGTTGTAGCTCACCGCGCGACAGAAGTGTTCCTCGCTTCCGGTAAGAAGATAGACCCTCCACCGCTCGATATCCTATTACGGGGCTCTGTTTATCCTCGAAAACGCCGATGTGTCGCGTGCCCGGATTTCCCCCAGCGTTTCCGATCGTGCGATCCTGTTTCTCTCGCATCTCTCCTCCTCTCTCTTTCTTTATCTTCAGTTGCGACGTCGCGTCGAAACTTTTCATCGTCGTCATTAACGATACAAACGACGTCCTCCTCCTCACCAACCAGCCGTTACCTCACGCGGAAATCTAAATTCTGTCATCGTCATCGGCGCTTAATTGTCGACGCTTTCGAATGAACGATCACCTCTAATTAAGATCGCAGTTAAGAGTCGTCGCGCTGCGATCATCATCTTTTCGTTCGCGAGAGACGACGACGACGAAGATGACTCGTCACCGTCTTTGCCGAGTGGGAAGCCGCAACCAGCGGGAAAACACGAGAAGAGACTCTCGCTCGAGAGAAACGTCTTAATTAAGTATAAGTAACGAGAGAAAAGCCGTTCGACGTCTGCGGTCGAGCCGGACAAACGGGCGAACTCAATCCGGTAAACCTTACCGCGGTAAGAGCCGCGCGGTTCTCTCGCGCGCCTCGAGTATAATTTCTCGTTTATTCGTTTTACCCGCTAATCGATACCCGACAATTACGAGGACCACGAACAAGCGGGGGGAAAAGGGTCTCGTCTCTCCAAAGAGAGTCGTCGAACACGACGCGGGAGCGGGGAATCTCTCGCGGTTCGGCGGATTCGAATCGATATACGTCACCACCGTGTTGCATCGCCGCCGGGACGTTTCGAAGGCTCTTTGAATTATTCCGCCGGTGGCGGACACGTACATTGTCTCGCGTGCGCCCGCATACATGCCTCGTTTTTGTTCTTTTCCCTCGTCCCTCGATCGTTCGAAGGCCAGGCGCGGACGGAATAATCGACGGACGTGATTTCTCTCAAATGGTCCATTGTCGTTCGCGTTAATGTCGCGCGTCGATACTTTGATCCTCGTCGCTCCTGAACAAGGATTTCACCCGCTTACCTTTTTGTGCCGCGTCTAACTCAAGAGGTCCCCTCGCATCGAAGACGGAAGTTCACAACCCGCGCATCATGTCGACGCCGAGGACACGGCGAATTCTGCAACAGCGCGAAAATTGACCTTTTGCAGGGGTTTCAACCAAATATAAGAATAACTATAACAAATATTTATACATATAAAAATATTAAAAAACTGTTATAATATTAAAGACTAATATACTGACATTGTAAGAGGAATTTCAGAATTACTGGCCATTTCGTTAGAAAACACAGTGGTGGGGAGTTTATAATTTATAGTAATATTTGATATTCTTATATGTTAATTTTATGTATTTTTCAAAACTGAAAAAATTCGTATAATGTATATTGCTCCTTTATTATGTGAAAAGAGATTCCCTGTCTCCTTCTTTCCGACTGTCTCAAGCAAACAAACAAGAGAAACAGTAGAAAATCAGTCACCGATAGTTTCAACTGGTTCCGTTGATATTTCATAGCAAGGTTCAGGAATATCGCTTCAAAGATCAATAAACGCGGTGATATGGTTAGTTTACAAAACAACTCTTAACCCAAACATTTTTCGCGTAATTCAGCGACAGAACACAGAAATTGGTGCAAGATCCGAAGTGATTTAAGAAGTTCAAAACTCATCCTGCAAACCATTGCCAAATAAATTACTCACCGCTGATTTGTTACTTTAATCTTCGCAAGAACGATAGCTCAAGCAAAACTTCACAACGAAACGAAAACTTAAACGACAGTAATAATAACAACAACGGACGCACCCTGCAAACAGAAACTGCCACTTCAGCTCCAACTATCGTACACACAGTAAGCGAAATTCATGTTCCGTTCGACAGAGTTCGGTACTTTACAACCGAGAAACATGGACATGTCGATTTACTGTATCCAGTCAGTTACCATTTTAATGAGAGGATATGAATTAGTTTATTACTTCGTTCACACTAGAAAATGTTCAAACGTATATTTTGCATACATGTTTACAGATACGCGCATAATGAAGCAATCGCAATTACGCGAAGTTTTTGAAAATATATATATCCGTTTATCAGCTTCAAATTCACACGAAGGAAGAGAAACGTTAGTCTCGTTGCCCCTTTCTGACGATCGTTAGAGGTAAGGAAGACAATCGCCAATAACATTACACCGCGTTTTTTCTTCGCACGAGTCATGCTCGTAGTCGAGCAGTTATTTGTATCGTTGGCAAATATATACACGTGTATACGTATCATAGAATCCGTTTAAACGATTAAACGTTTAGTTATATCGAAACGGTTCCCATCAGGCGTTTCTGAACGGATATACGCCGAACGTTTTAAACCAGTATTCGAAAACGGATCGAAGCGGGAGACCTACATAAATGTTTAGTGTATCGTTACAACAGCCACGATACGGTTCTGCGACCGTTCTATCTTTCCCTAGTTATCGTTAACTAGGAAAAAATTCGACAATAAGAGCCAAACAATAAAGCGGTTGTCAATTGCTTATATTTAAATGATTAATAACATGATGGAATTCCAACATGTTATTGATAATTTAAATATAAGCAATTAATAACTGCCTTATTATTTATCAAATTTTTTTCTCGAACCGATTCGCCGATTTTTCAATTCTTCCCCTAATTGGTTACCAACGAATACCGTCCAAGTATAATGTTCGTTGGTGCTTTTTCTCCTTCGAATGTAAAGAAGTTTCGCGGGAGATACGAATCAGTTATCGTCACGGCGCAACGAACCGGCCCCCTCGAAGCCGCTCGTCGGAAGCGCTCACGGCAAAGAAGCGTATGTACGAGGAAAATGTCGGCGGAGAGAAGTCTTCCTCCGACATTTCTTACGGCGGACGGACGGGCGAGCCCGTTCTTAGCGCGAGACGTTCTTACAATTTTCAAGTCGTCCCCGTTCGCGGCTTCGAGTCACGGCGCGAGGAAAAACATTTTCCGAGGAAATTGGAACGGAGGAGAAACCCCGGCGAGGAGATGAGGGAGATGGCGGAAGGTCCGCGGAATTTCTCCGGTCCGAAAGAGCGCGCTCCACACGAAATCGTTGTTTCGTGCAACGATTAATTTTTTTCGAATTCTTACGATATCGGCTCCATTATCCCTCTCTCACCGCAGCGCCCGAGATTATTTATCGTTCCGTCATTAGCCCGCGTATCGCCATTATCGTGTATACTTCGCCGCCGCTGCCACGTGTCACCCACAAAGTAGAACGCGCGTTTAATCTCCGCCACCTCCGCGGCGATACGATACGCGAATTAGCATAAATACCGCGAGAGCGATCGGCTCGTAACTCATCCAAGAATGGATTTCCCCTTCCGTTCCGCCGTTATCCTTGGACGCTTGGTGTGATTAATAAATTGGTCCGATTAATGTGTAATCAGTTAGGGCCGGGTCGATTGAAAATTAATGGCCTCGATCGTTGTCACGCGAATTTAATCGCAAACTGGCCGCGTCACGCGGCGGTCGCGCGTACAAAATCGTTGTATCGCGTGGTGCGTGAAATACGAGCGATGTCGACGCCGCCGCAGTGATCGATAGTAACTTTCTGGCTGATAAGAATGTCGTCTCGAGGTGACCCGCACCAGCATACCTGAATTCAAAGTGACAACGATGCGCGAGCAAATGAAACACAGAAGTACCCTCGGATCTGAAGCAAAAGCGTTTTTGTCGTCTCATTAGATTTTCCTCGCAGAGACCTTCGTATCCAACGATATGAAACACTCTCACACCTGAAATAGGTGATTGAAAGCGGCCGAAAAGTCGGTGCCACGATTAGCGTGACTTTTCGGCCGATCATCTTATTCAGACCACAAGTGCGATATATCGTTGGAAAGGTCTCGGCGGGGAGAATCCAATGAGACGATAAAAACGAGGCTCACTTTTGCGCCTTCTTTTACGGCCGACGAGAACTGCGCTAATATCGTTAATCCGGGCGACAACGCGCGCGTCTCTCTCCGCGTGGCGCAGGTGAGAAAAATACGAGATACGCTTCCGGCCCTCAGTGTGTTGGAGCGGAATGAAAAACGACGCGTCGCGTTCGCGTTGGTCGGTTAGTTAGTTACGACGCGCGCCGTAACGGGACGTTATTTACAAGCCCGCTAAACTCCCGGCCGGCTCCTTCGTGATTGATCAACAGCAGACGGCGCGCGTAATCGCGCAATTATCGCAGCCCTCCGTAGACACCGCAATAAAACATTTGATCGCGACACGCGACGGAGTCTGTGGTAATCGCATAATTTCGCGTGTCCGCTGTTGACGACGTCGTTACCATTGTCGATGTCGTTGCGCTCACGCGACGTCCTCTGCACCAGGGAAGATATCCTTTCCTTACGTTTCGTCATACTCGTAGCAGCTGGGAGTTTTGCGAGAGCGATCGTTTCCAGGAGATGGGAAATAGAATCGATGACGAGGGAGAGGAGAAGAAGGAGAGGGGATCGACGAGCGTTTGCGAAGGATCACTAGATAGAAGCGACTTTCGCGACTTCCACGGTGTGTTATCTCAACGCAGCACGAGAGGAGGATTACGCCGCGGGCAGTTTTCCCTCCGATGAGAGATATCACGTCATATTTTACCCGCCGTACCCCCTGATGTTTCATCGTCCGGGGGCTTTTTCCCTTTTACGAGGCAATGATTCCGCGCGCACGCACGCGCTGCGAAACTGTGCCTCGGGCTGCTTTTCTTCTCTCCGCCTGTTTCTCTTTTATTCTCCGGCTTCTCGATCCCTTTTGCCTTTGTCGCGTATACAGCGAGCCCAGATATCGAGTTTAATGGATTGGGTAAAGAAGAAACGCCTGCTCTCTCTCTCTTTTCTTGCGATGCGCGACATCTACTTGCGCCGAGAACGCTCCAGCGCGAAGGCGAAGAGACATCCGCGATTATTTTTCTTCGCGACTTCCGCGCGATAAATAACGTCTCTCTCTCGTCGTAATAATTTTTGCGTCCGCGAACGATCACGCGGGCGCGCGCCTTTTCTCTCCGTCTCGCAATTCTGAGAGGGGAAACTGCGAAGAGAACTTTCCTCGAGGCGTCCAGCACTGGGCGATTCGAAACGATTTGCGAGATCTAAAACGAGACGGAACAACGCAACGTAGACGGAAATTCAGCTAACGGAATCACTCCGGAGGGGGGAACGACCAAAGGAAGAGCGTCTCTCTTCGTGTCCGTCGCAACGTCATCGTTTCTCACGCTTTATGTTGACGAAACTCGAAGATCCGGACGAAGATCCTCGGCGGGCTCGATAGCCGCCCCCAAAAATCTATCGCCGTCTGTCGACAACTCCGGATAAGAGATAAGCAAGAGATACATTTTCCTATTAAATATCAAATATGTGGCGAAACTCGTCGAAAAAAAAAACATCGCGATTTTTAATGACTGATCATATAAGAAACATATAACGTGATCGTATCAATATTTATGTAACATAATATTACGATGAGGATCTCTCTACCGATGCTTTATCGAGTTCGTCATCGACTTTGGCATCTCCTTGACGCTCCGGCGCCTTCAAAGGGGATGATCGCGAATAAACGCAAGGAGGGGCAGGTTTTAACGCGAAAGGTATGATGAGAGACGCGGGTAAGCCGGAAGAACACCATAAGTCGACTTATTCGTCGCTAATTGGCCGACAAACATTGCGATACTGAAGTGCTCGCGTACCGTAAGTAGGCTGCGGAGTGAGACTATTAAGGTATAAAGTCACGCGCGGAGGATCCATCGTAGAAGGAGTGCCACACAATGGCAGACAAATTGCTCGGCGCGGTATCGCTGAATTATTCGTCATACCTCGACCCTTTACGTCAGGGCTTGCCGCGAATTACGTACGCTTCTGGAATTTCTACGGAAACGCCGAGGGCTTGATAAAGACGTTGCTCTGCGCTCACCGAAACCGTTTCTCCACTCTCTCTCTCTCTCTCTCACCATCTGTTTCCACACCTTCTGTTACATCCAATCTCGCCGCGAGACGACGCCTAGATAAATTTACGTAACGAGAGAATTGACGGGGCAAAGCTCGGGTCGGAGTCAATCTCAAGGATGAAGAGAGTATCGCGCGTTCCGCGAACAAAAACGAGAGAAAAAAGAAAA